GGGAAGCCATTAATAACCTCTCTCTTTTCCATACCGTTTGTCACTACATGCATATCGTTCATCAATGAGGCCGTGTTTTCTTCATCCTTCTGCCACACCTGCTCAGCTTTCTGCACATTGGAATGGACCATTACTGTGTTTGAGAAGGTTGTCCTCGGCTCCTTTGCCTTCCAAGGGTGGGAATCCAGTCAAGCAGATTCCTCAAACAAAATGAGCTCTCCTTAAATTCAGGGCTGTGATTCTGCTGCTTGTCTCTTCTCACAAGATTTTCAACTCAGTCACTGGGGCCAAGGCTGCTTTACATCCCTCACCAGTTTTTCCTTGTTTGTGAGCAACAAGTCCAGCAGAACATCTCCCCTGTCATCTGGTTGATCACCTGTATCAAAATTTTTTTCTCAACACTACAGATGTCTCCTGGGTTGCTTGTGCCCAGCTCTATTAAACCACCAGCAAATACTGTGGTCATTGAAGTTGCACATGAGTATGAGGGCCTGTGATGGTGAGACTTCTTCAAGCTGTTTAAAGAAGGCTTAATTTACTTCCTTTTCTTGACCAGGTGGTCTGTGGCAGATGCCCACCACTGTGTGGGTTTGCCCACTAATCCTTACCCATAAGCTCTTGACTGGGCCATCATTCATTCCAAAGCAAAGGTCAGTATATCTGAGGCTCTCTTTTGCATAGCGTGAAACCCATCCTTCTGACCTTCTCAGTTTGTCTTTCCTAAAGACCCAGTATCCTTCCACTGCAGCACTCTGTTTGTGTTGGCTAGCCCACTGTGTCTCTCTAAACCCCGTGAGACTGCTGCTGTGCCACTGCACACACACTTCTAATTCCTCATGTTTGCATCACATGCTGCATGCATTTCTGCATATGTACTGAAGAGGGACCCCTTCAGTCATGCTGCTTTCCCAAGTGTGAGAGCCTCCCCCACTATTCTGTCCCCTAGACACTTTCTCATTGCTCCATGTGCCTTCATTTCTCTTCCTGTTAAGGCAATCCTCCTCTCATGTATCTAGTTTAAAGCCCTCTCATTAGGGTAGGAAGCCTGTTGCCAAAAATGCTCTTATTCTACTTTATCAGCTGGGCCACATCTCTCACCAGTACTTACTGTTCTTCAGAGAGGGTACTAAAAGCTAAAGATCTGTCTGCAATACCAGCCAGACACCCAAGCATTCACCTGCATGACGTGCCCAAACCTACCTAAGCCTTTGACTTTCACTGAAAAGACTGAGGAAAACACCACATGGCCCCCCAGGCCCTTCTTCACTACAGTGGTCTGTAGTCACTCTTCGATTTGTTCCAGGTCTCCCTTGGTAGTACTGTTAGTTCCCCTTTGGGTGGGCAACCAGAGGTAGCAGTCTGAGGGTAAGATGAACATCAGCAGTCTCTCCAAAGGATCTGAGATCCAAGCCTCCAACAAGTAGCAGACCTTCCAAGAAACGAGCACAGGTAGGCGGATGGGTTCCTCCATCCCATGCAGAAGGAAATCTCTTCTATTACCCACCACTTGTGCTTGGTGCAGGCAGTTGTTTCAGGTTCCACTGGCCTCGGTGCCTCCTCTGATAGAAATGCTTTGTCCTCATCTATTCTCAGTGCACTGTACCTGTTCAGTAATTGCAGGTGTGCAGGCAAAGAAGGAATATTCCTTTTGTTGCTAGAGTCATAAGTTTCCAGCATCCCCCATCTTGGGAGTCTCCATCTACTACTCCTTTAAGTATAATCTATAGATCTCCATCCTTCCTTGCATCATATAGCTCAGGCTTTTGCCACTACAGGGTATGTGGAAAGACCTTATTGAACTCCTGCATTCATTCTCTGTGATGGTGTACAGTCTGCTCACCTCTTTCACAGGTGAGGCCACCATCACCCCCACCCCAGAAAGAAGTATTGTCTGCAGTCCAAAGTCTGCATGGCAACATTGTGCTTCAGGAGTACTGCCTGCATCAAGGTTTCTGTTTTGCCTAGAGTATTTTCTTCATCTGATGCTGGAGACTGTCCTGTAGCACATTACCACCATCATTGCATAGATCTTAGTCTTGAGCATAGTTTCAAGGACCATCTCACAACAACTGACAGGCCTCTATTTTCTGCTCTCCAGGAACTGTGCTTCTATCTAACAGATTTGTATCTGCTCCCCAAGCTTCAGCTGAGTAGTTGCTCGACACTCCCTGATTAGCAGTCAGGTGAAGACGGTGTGTATAGGCACTCCCTAAAAAGGAAACCCCACTAGCAAAGCCCTCCAGAAGCTTTTCCTTACCCAGTATAGCAGCCTGCCAGAAGATGTTGCTCAAAAAAGAAGATCCCAGAAGATATTTCCTGCAGTTCATTGCAGAAGCCTAGAAACTGCTATGACAACTGGTACGTCTGTGTTAGCTGTTCTGTTTTCTGTGCTCATAGTCCTTATGATACGTAATTATTATATATCATTTGTCTTCTTTTATTTATAAACCTCCTTGCTGTCTTCTTCTTTCACAATCCAGTACATATATGCATAACCTCCTAACTTCCTAGACTAAATACCATCTAAATCATTAATTTTAATCCTGTAGTTTGTAGATGTGTTAATTCTTCACAAAGACTGTATCTAACAAGTGTTCAAAAATACTAATGGAAAATGTATATAGTCTGAGAATTCATATGTGTACTTCTTACAACATTTTAATAACTTCATGCATATGATCTCACTTTTTCAGTCCTGTAAAGCAGGCAGATGTTTTCATACTCATTGTTTTGTTTGTGATTGCACAAAGCAAAATACTCCTTGATAAAATGAGATGTGACACTTGGTTTGTCCACAATGGAAAGAGTAATGAAATATAGTCACAGGCTTTGCAATTTAAAAAGTAAAAATAACCTATTACATCAACATATAAGAATCCAGTCTTGACAAATTAGCCATAGTAACTAATAATAATAATAAACCCCACAAAACTTAGATATTCTGCATCCTGAAAGTCCATTGGGAGACTCTCAGGTCTTAAAAGAAGTTGTATGCCTATGTATACGTATGTACATGTGTAATACACACACTTCTATATAGACTAACAACCATATGTATTTATGTATATATTCAAGTTATTTTGATGCACATACACTATGATTAAGTGGCAGGGGTGGGTGGGGGGGGAGTGCTGGCTGTGAGTGCTATTTCTATGTTTCACACTTCAATAACTTTCAAGCTATTTATATGTTAGACTTGAAATAGCTTGTAAACATTTTTAAATCTCTTGCATAAAAACATATATAATACTTATAGGGACAATAATTTTAACCACTTCTTTTTCCTATCCATTATAAGCAAATATTTCTGTCCAAATATAAAGTTGTTCCTTTTACCATTATATTGCTAACTTGACATGATGGAACAAGGTTTAATGCAATGTAAGTGACCTAAGAATATGAAAAAAGCGCAACTGAAAAGGTACTATAATTTCATGTTTTACTTGCTACTTTCCAATCAGATGATGACTAGCTGACCCACTATAAAGCAAGCAGGGGAAAAAAAATCAACAATTAGTCATACTATACAAGTATCACATATTTAAATTAGCTGGTTATATTAAAAGATATTACATTCCAATGTGTAGAAGCTGGCCTGTAGCACCAATCTAGCTCTATAGAGAAAAAGCCACACTGAAGCATATAAGTTCATATATCTGTAAGATACTGTATATTTAATAAAAATTATGTATACCATATGAAGACAGAACAGTTGATCTAATATTATTGATGACTTCATATATTAATAGCTTCTCATCACTGCAAGCAACTGTATTGGGTTTGCATGACAAGGTTTTGGTAGCGAGGGGGCTACAGGGGTGGCTTCTGTGAGAAGCTGCTAGAAGCTTCCCCCATGTCCCATGGAGCCAATGCCAGCCAGCTCCAAGACGGACCTGCTGCTGGCCAAGGCCAAGCCAATCAGTAACGGTGGTAGCACATCAGCGATAACGTATTTAAGAAGTGTGGGGAGGAAAAAACTGCGGCAACAAACAGCAGTGGAGAGAGGAGTGAGAATATGTGAGAGAAACAACTCTGCAGAAACCAAGGTCAGTGAAGAAGGAGGGGGAGGAGGTGCTCCAGGCACCGGAGCATAGATTCCCCTGCAGCCCGTGGTGAAGAACCATGGTGAGGCAGGCTGTCCCCCTGCAGCCCATGGAGGTTAATGGTGGAGCAGATATCCATCTGCAGCCCGTGGAGGACCCCACGCTGGAGCAGGTGGATGTACCCGAAGGATGCTTGACCCTGTGGGAAGCCTGCGCTGGAGCAGGCTCCTGGTAGGACCTGTGGACCCGTGGAGAGAGGAGCCCACACTGGAGCAGGTTTGCTGGCAGGACTTGTGACCCCATAGGGGACCCACACTGGAGCAGTCTGTTCCTGAAGAACCACACCTCATGGAAGGGACCCACGCTGGAGCAGTTTGTGAAGAACTGCAGCCTGTGGGAAGGACTCATGTTGGAGAAGTTCGTGGAGAACTGTCTCCTGTGGGAGGGACCTGACACTGGAGCAGGGGAAGAGTGTGAGGAGTCCTCCCCCTGAGGAGGAAGGAGCGGCAGAGACAAC